GAAACGCCTTTGGAGACGGCTTATGGTAGAGAAATGAACATTCAATTCACGGGCAACAGCTCTGGTGGACATTCCTGCAGTCAGCATGCCAATTGCACGCTTCCTCAAAACTTGCGACATCTGTGGCATTGTGCTGTGTGATAAAACTGCACATTTTAGAGTGGCCTTTTATTGTGGCCAGCCTAAGGCACACCTGGCAATAATCATGCTGTCTAATCAGCATCTTGATATGCCACACCTGTGAGGTGGATGGATTATGAATCACTTTTATTTATGATACTTTTATCCTTTATTTTTTTTCTTTTTGTAATTTGGGAGCCTATAACAGTATAGGCCTACCCATCCCCATTCATTACTATATAGAAAAAAACATTCTTCTATTTCTAAGTTTCTCCTGCAGTGTTCCACAGAGGAAAGAAAGTCAGGGAACACGCCGGTGAGTAAGTGATGCTAGAATATTCAACTATTCCTTAAATAAACAGAGAAAGTTGTATAGTAATCTATGATAAAGAACTATCAGATAAGTTAAAGCTGGTAAGAGCAGGTTCAAGAAAGTGTGTAGGTGCTGAGGTGTGGAACTGTGTCATACACCTCACCCACTCCTTCCCGCATTCTCCCTGCATGCTGCAGCCTGCAGGTTAAAAGTTTTTTTCTTGTTAAAGAAAAAAGACGGAGAAATTGTTGTGTTGAAATATTAGGGAGGAGAAAGGATGGGGGGTGGAGTAAATACGAACATGAACATGAAACTAGCAGTTTAGTGACAGAAAGAAGCAGTTGGACATTTATAAGTATACAGTAAGTGTGTTTGATTGCTATAGTATATAAAATTTCATAGAGTGAGATCACGGAAAAACAAGAATTTACAAAAGTTAGAAGAAGCTATTTAAAAGTTTATCTGAGACAGGGAAAGAAAAAGAGAGATCAACTTGGAGACCACACAACCTAACCAGGTCCATCTGGTCACTTCAGGGGGAATACAGTTCAGCCATTCAGATCTAATCAAGTGTATTGGTAAGTTACAAGAAATGCTCTTTGATTCTGTTCCTTTTTTTCCTTTATTTTTCTCTTTCATCATTTCCCAGTTTTCTCATTTTAATAAAGCCATCCTTATAGAAATACATGACAGTCCTTCCAGTTATTTCTCATAATCTGCCCATTTTTCCATCTCCAGTTTGTCCTTTGTGGCCACTCTCTGTTGATGCAACTCTGTCCAGTTTCTCAATTTCACACATCTTTGAAGCTCTGAGGTCAGCATTGTGCACAATCAGGGACAACTTTAGTGACAGCATTGCAAACTGGACAATCTTATCTTCTTGCACTGTAGGGATTACAATACTGATAGGTTCACTACTGCTCATTTTGCAACTACCCTACGTATTCTATTTCATGAAATTCCTTGCTTTGTTCTTTTAACTTGACTTTATATATGGTATTCTTTTCTTGACAATTGCTGCAATAAAATAAAATAAGTACGTATATATTTGCATAATTATAGAACGGTTTCTTTCCAGATGAGGGTCAGCGTGAGAATGTGATCAGTGGATAAAACAGCAGTAGCGTTCCTAGTAGTTGAGCTCAAGATCACACAGCAAGTTGTAGCATGTTGTTTCCAAGGTTTTTTTTTTTTTTTCATTGATGGCAGATTACTGGCAGAATTGCAATATTTACATGGTCGCTGAGAGCCCATCCTTGATACTGGCTCATACTTTATTTGCCTCTGAAGGAAATATTATAAAAGGAAAAATCTTCAATAATTCATAATACGTCATTTGGAATACACCAATTGGATAACCTGTGATTTCTGATTCCACCAGTTTTTCTGACGTCTTCCTGATGGGATCAGATAATGGGAACACCTCCTTAAACATGTCCAACCATTCCGAGGATGAGAGCATTGTGAGTAACAATATCTCTGTTACCTTTGGGGCCCTCATCCTCAGCATTGTCTTCCTTCTGGGCGTTCCTGGAAACTTCTTCATTATATGGAGCATCCTAGCACGTGCCCGCAAACGCTCCGTCACCACCCTGCTCATCCTCAACCTGGCTTGTGCAGACGGTTGTCTGATGTGTCTGACAATTTTCTTTATAATATACCTAGCCAAGCAGAGCTGGATATTTGGAAGTGTCATGTGCAAGCTGCTTTTTTACTTGTGCAATACAAACATGTATGCTTCTATTATGATCATTACGCTGATGAGTCTACACAGACTAGTGGCAGTGATGTGGCCCACATACTTGACTGCCTGCACTCGTAGACGGACAGTATTACTTGTGCTTGGTGGCCTGTGGATTGTTGTATTTCTTTTGGCACTTCCTGCTTTGATATTCAGAGAAGAAATTAAGAATGACAATGGGAAGGAACGCACTGTGTGCGCAACTCATCAAAAGCATGTGAGTTTCTATGCTCCATTAATACTTGAGAATAACACTGTATATCAAACTGCTCAGCATTATACTTCATATTTCTCATATCACACCACAGATTTGCTCTTGTTTCATATAACCAGTGGTACTCAAAGAGGGGCCGGGGCCCACTAGAGGGCCTCAGCAAACTACTAAGGGGGGCCACAGGATGACTGAAAATTATTAAAGGGACTCAAAAATTAATATTCTGTCATTATTTACTCACCCTCATACCATTCCAAATCTGACATGCTCTCTTTTGCAGAACAAAAAAGAAGATATTTTGAAGAATGTTGGTAACCGAACATTTGCGGTGATCCCTGAACTTTCCTTATATGGACAAAACATGCAATGGAAATTCTGGAAACTGTTTGGCAAACAACGTTCTTCAAAATATCTTTCTTTGTGTGCATATAAGTTTGGAATGCCATGAGAGGGAGTGAATGATTACCCCTTAAATCATATTAAAATAATTTAACTTCATTAAACTGTTTTAAAAAAATCAAGGTATAAACTATTTAGGTATTTTGAAAAATATTTGTATTAACCATTTCAATTCCTATTTCCAAAATGTGATTATTATTATTATATTGTTTTATTAAAGAATATACAGTTTTATGGCTTGATTATTGATATATTTTGACACTCCCAGTTCGTTATTGAAAATATCATAATTAAACACTGAAGTAATAATTATAGCTTATATAAGGGGACTTTGAATGTTATGTTGGACAATTGGGGCCTTTAAGTTAAAAAGACTGAGATCCACTAATATAAACACAACTGGCACCAACTTGGCTTCAGTTACCAATTATATTGAAAACCGCCTCGGATGACTTCACTAGTATTATTACTGTACTACATGGGTGTCCAAACTCAGTCCTGGAGGGCCACTGTCCTGCAGAGCTGAGCTCCAACTTGCCTCAACACACCTGCCTGGAAGTTTCTAATAAGGGTTGGAGCTAAACTCTGCAGCACAGTGGCCCTCTAGGAGCAGGATTGGACATCTCTGCTGAACTATAATACACAATAGTAGGTTATAACTATAACAATACAAACCCCTTCGGGAGATCAAACTGACTATTTTCTGATAATGAACAGCTGACTGTTTATCCCTTACATAATTTTATAATTCATACATAATTGTCTTTTATGATTAGGTGGTATTTCAGTACACACTTGAGACAGTGGTGGGCTTCCTGGTGCCATATGTGATCATTGTCAGCAGTTATGTGCGTATCCTTCACCGCCTCAGACAGACCATGTTCAAGAGATGGATACGAAGCGAAAACCTTATTCAAGCTATTATTGTGACGTTCTGCATTTTTTGGCTTCCTTACCACAGTATTAATATAGTGCAAGTCAGTCGTTTAATTTCTATTTCTTTTTGGTAATCTTTTTCCAAATCTTCATGAGCACAAAGTATGAATTATCATTTGTCTTCTGGTCAGGTGGTAGCAGCTCTTATGCCAAAGGAATCACCGCTCAAAAAGAAGTAAATGAACTGAAGATTTTAAATAGCCCACAGATATTTCTCAAAAAGTCAACAGAACCAAAGTAACCACATGCTCTATCTATCCTCAGACTGGATGACATCTGGCAGTCGAGCCGTGCTGTTACATCCGCTCTGGCTTTTATCAGTAGTTGTGCCAATCCTGTCCTCTACGCCTTTGCTGGACGCTCCTACATCAAAGCTGATGGCCTGGCATTCATGGCCAGACTCTTTGAGGGCACTGTCCTGGACTATGGTGCACGGAGAGGCCGTCAGAACAGAGATGTCATCAGGCTCTAAACCTCATAGGAGCACAGATACATAAAAACGAATCTTGGACAATAAATTATTTTTTAAATCCGTTTGAATTGTGACTGATACGGTAGAGAATAAACAGGTCAACAATTTCACCTAAAAAGACAGCATAAAGACCTACAGAGTTCTTACATTTATCAATTGACAATTCCATTACGAGAATGCATTTATGCAGCTTGCTTTCATTTTAAAAATCAACCTTCAAGTTTGTAAACTGTTCATACAGAACTACCCCCCCCCCTTTCCCCAATTTGAAGATTGTATTAACGTTATACATTAATTCCTGGATTATCTGGACTTGGGTGTATATTTAATATAATCTTCGCATTACCTATTGTAAATAGTTGTACAAAGATTGCTTTAAACCTTAAACCGTTTAAAAAGATGAATTAATTCACTAGCAAATGCTCACATTTTAGTCATATTGCGCATTCAATTTTGGCAGTACAAATTCATATGCAGTAATCAAACCCTTCTGCACTTGTTGAAAAATGTCTAAAACGGTTTAAAACCCAATTAAATATGAATATGCATAACTTACTCGGTCACACATAAAAGGATTTTAGCACCTAATCTCTTTATATTTGACTAAAAATTCACTAGTACACAAGTCTCACCATGAATCAGACATATTTTAAAGAATTTATTGTAGCAGTTTCAAATCCTCACTGACATATATTGCTGGCATCTTTTAGAGTAACAAGATGGCAAGCAAGCATGGACAAACCATACTACAGAACACAATTATGTACTTTAATCTTCTGTACCATAATTGGGTTATATCTCTAGTAAAATAAAAGGCCAGTGGACCTCATTCAAATCCATAGTAGAAAGTCAGTTCACATGAAGTAAACCCCTAAATAAAAAAAAAAGAAAAGAGAATAGGAATTAATACAACACAGACATTAGATAAAAGGTAGTTACTTCATAGTTTGGATTTACTCCTATCAGAACGAAATACATAAAGCATACCTTGGTCAACACTTTCCTGCTTTCAAAAGTTGAGGTTCCTGCAGAATATTTGTGGAGATGTTAGAAGAAAAAAAAACAACATACTAAACTGGGGTTCGTTTTCACCCCGAGCACTTTAATCAGAGCATGTTAATAATCACTGGCTATCAGAAACACGGACTACATGCAATTCATCACCTCAGCGGAAGACGCTTACTCGGAGGCACACGAGATTTGAACTCACCTCATTTCCATAAACGCGTGTCTCTGTAAAAATAAACAGAAGTACAGCATATCAGAATGAATTCCGAGGGAAACGAAGCCATCGCACCGATTTATTCCGCAACTTTAACCAGTCAGTGCAGTAGGTTTGTAATCATTAGTCAGGTGAAACACGGACTGCAAAATCATCATGTCTGGGCTGAGCAGCGGCGGACTCGATTCAGGATAAAGACGCTACAGTAATGATACAGCCGGGCTTATAACACGAGGCATCTGAATGTAACGTAGGCTAGTTAGCAAAGCAGATGCACCTGCCAATTCAGCAACCAACAAAACCTCTCATTTAAAACGCATTAGCTTTCAGTATTACTCTGAAATAGGAATAAAAGATTGAACTTACAGAATTCAACGGATCCATCACAGCGGTATGATTGCAAAAACCATGTCCTTTTGATTTATAATTATTTACATTTTACAGTCAGAGGATGCCGTGAACAGCAGAAACTTATCCACTTCCTTTTTGTCTAAAAGCTTACATTTTCAATATATCTAAAAACGATATAAACTAACAATCTAATTACACAGGTTCTGAAATACTAATACAACTAAAACGGCATTCAAAACCAACTAACGTTCCTACTCCATTGAACGTCGCCAGCAGAAAAAATGTGATTATGGCATGAGGCCGTATTTATCGCCTAATAACCACGTGTTTCTACCGGGGGGAAAAGCACTCCCGGTTGCGGCACCCCCATCTCCACAAATTATTATTAACTGGATCAACGTGAACTCAACAAATTCAGTCAGACACTACGTGACTTATGTATGTGAAAGCTTTGATTAATTTTAATGTTGTATTAATTATCAGCAGACATAGCATGGTGCATTTAATACAGTGGTAGGCATAATGAATGCCCAATAAATTACAAAAGGTTGTATTAAGACAATTATTACAAAAAGTGTGTTAATAAAGTGTATTATATCATATTTTTATACCATATTGCTAATTAATATGCAGTACCACTGATACATTTAAACAGTTAAGTACAATAATACTGATAATTTACAGTTGAAAGAAGGTCACCTGGCGTCCTTATCAACATGGCTGCGGTTACGTTCCAGTTTGCGTCGATCACGCGGTAAACATACGACACTCTCATTGGTTTAACCTTCGCTGGTAGAAAGACGTAAAAGAAGTGGATTTCTGCAAGTTGTCGGGATAAACCAAACGGACTGTATTTTGCAAGCACAATGAGAGTTGTAATAGGTAACTGTTATATCACTTATATTCATTTTCGCGTTGTCACGGCATGATATCGTAACAAAATAGCTCATTTTGAGTGTAACACTGAGAGCCTCTTGCAGTATAAACATAGCTCTGTTATATTAAAATATGCATTAAATGTATTAAAATATCCTGTCACCTTCTTTGAACGCATGTGATCTTGTTCTTATGGCATGACTGCCTTCATTTATCAGTTACTGTATAAATGAGAATGTGATTTTTCTTGAGGTGATCTGTTTCGTAAGTGCTTTAACAGCGCATGCGCGACTACACGTGCGCGGGATTGGCTGCAGACGCCATGTATTATGATGTAAAAATGTCATATACCATAACAAGAACATTCATTTTTAAAGCACTTTTAAACACATTTTGAATCGATCCACATTGCTGTACAGTATGGAAAAAGAAATCTACACTCCATATACTACTTGCTATACTGTAAATATAATATCATCATGTTGCTTCCCGCCCCCAACCAGGCCTTTTATGTTTTACCGCATTGGTTCTGTTTGATTGTAAAATTAATAATGCTTTATTTTTCTCACTTTCCAACTCCCATTAGGCGGAGGATCAGGGTTTGTGGGTCGTGAACTGACAGGTTTGCTGAAAAGCAAAGGTCATGAAATCACAATTATATCCAGGCAGCCTGGCCCAGGAAAAATATCATGGGTATGGGGTAAATTACATTGAAGATTGTATTGATATGCATTGAAGTCGACTTTTACTTTTGATTTTTGCATCTGTGCATAAATCAGCAGTTAATCTATATTTGCTTTTAAATACAAGCCAAAGTAATGCAAACTTGATATGAACCTGATTACAGTGTTATTCAACATCATAGTAATAATTAATTGCTTCGTAAGGCCCAGCTCTGGAGTCATTCATGAATGTATGATGTTAAAATACCTTTTACAGATAAAGTTAAATCTAAATGTTGCATTTTCTTCTTCTTCTTCTTGTACGATTTAATGGCGGTTGACAAGCCAAATGTTGCATTTTGGTAACTGACATATTTACCTGTTTCAACAGGCTGATGTAGAGTCAGGAGGCCTCCCACCATGTGACAGCGCTGTGAATCTAGCAGGGGAGAATATTATGAATCCTTTAAGATGGTAAGGATTTTTTTTCTTAGTGACAGTGTATATGAATAATTACATTCAAATAATGATTCACTGATCTTCACTTTAGTATGGTTATATTAATATCATAATATTTTCTCTAGGTGGAATAAAAGTTACAAAAAGGATCTGTTCTCCAGCCGAGTAAACACAACCAAAATTCTTGCCCAAGCCATTGCTGCTTCACCCACTCCACCACATTCATGGGTGCTTGTTACAGGAGTAGGTAAATAAGGGGTGTTTTTTTTTTAGCAAGCTAGACAATATATATATCGCTTTTGTTCTGTTTTCAGCATGTTATAAACCTTGTCTTCAAACCCAATACACTGAGGAGAGCGACTGGACACCATTTGACCTCCTGTCTCGTTTGGTGAAAGAGTGGGAGGCCGCAGGGCAACTTCCTGAAAACAGCGCTAAGAAAACAAGACAAGTGATCATCAGACCAGGTTAATATAAACAAATGTCTCGGCAGAGTGCTAGATCTCACCTGCAATATAACAAAATATAATGTAATAAATTGCATTTCAAAATTTGTTAAAATAGAAAACAATTATTTTATATTGTAATAATATTTCACAATATTACTGTTTTTACTGTATCTTTGATCAAACGCCTTTGTGATCAGAATCAGAATCAGAATGAGCTTTATTGCCATGGTAAAACTGATCGTGTTTGAGAAACAAAAAACAGGAAAAACTAACAAAAACAATACAAACACTGGAGAGCCAAACACTGAGGCTGCCGTCTGCGGCGCCATCGCTGTAAGTAAAACAGCGATCATAAGAGTGTTTGTGATCATAAGAGACTCAACAACAGAAAAAAAACGGACTGATTCCTAACTTTTGAACAGAAGTGTAATTTTGTACTTTCTTCCACTCACCCTCAGGTGCAGTGTTAGGGCGTGACGGTGGCGCCATGAAACAGATGTTGATTCCCTTCTGGCTTGGCCTGGGTGGGACGCTTGGCTCAGGACGACAGCCCTTCCCTTGGATCCATGTGTCAGACCTTGCTGGCATCATCGCCCATGCCTTGGAGCCCAAAGAAGGACCACCATCCACAGAGCCAGATGTATTTAATGGAGTTTCCCCTTCATTGAATACCAATTTTGAATTCACTAAGGCATTGGGCAGGACTCTAAAAAGACCTACTATCTTCCCTGTGCCTGGCTTTTTCTTGGATGTCTTCCTCGGTTCTGAGAGAGCTGTTATCCTCACACAAGGCCAGAAAGTGGTGCCCAAGAAAACCCTTGAGTCTGGCTTTGAGTTTCAATACCCAGATCTTACTTCTGCTTTAAAAGAAATTGTTGGATATTAGCAATAATTCAAAACAGAGAAGAGACCTGAGGAGATTTTTTTAAGCATACAAGTGCAGTATATTTCTTATAATATATACATTTTAAATTAAAATTAAGCATATAAAAAATAAATCTTGCTTGTACTTGCTTGATTTAATGTACATTCTCAGAAAGACACATTGTTCTCAGCTCCTTTGTCTGTCCCCCTTAAGAATTATATTTATCTGTGCGTTCAAAATGAGTACTTCATTTGTAAATAAATGTTTATATGAAAATTATTTAGTCCAGCTGTGGTATCTGTGGTATAATCCATCATTATATAATCATAGCAGATGTTATGTCTCTCACGACTTTGAGTGGCTATATTTGGCTCATCTGTCTGAGCCATGGGGTCATCCTCTACATGGAACATTTGCATATTTTTCTTTAAACACTACATTTAGAACAAATGCACATCAACACATGATAAAATCTATATATGGACACAATTAGCTTACTTACACCAACTGTTTAATGTTAGATATACTTATTAAGCTTTTTAAGTGATGTATCACATTACTAATTGCTGTAAAACTATAGAAATATGGCCAAAATAATAATAAAAACTTGCTAACCTCAAAACGAATCTTGTTCATATACAGCACAAAAGTAAAAACTGGAACTGGTAGTGGAACGTTTTACTCTTCCAAAATACTGCACATATATGAAAATACTCCTGAAATATTTGTGAAGCTGGTGGTGTAATATAGTATAATCCATGTAAAAGTATTGAAAACTTTTAAAATTATTTTATAATTATTATGCATGGAGCTATTAAGACATGGGGTTTAAAACAAAAACTAGCAAGGTGTTTAAAAAATTGTGAAAAATTTAAATGTACAGCTTCCCTTATTTTTTTATTTAGTTTGTTCCAAATGGTTTATCACTTTAAATCATTTAGAACATGTAATAAATTTTGTTTGCAAATAGCCAATTTCTGCTTGTGTGAATAGTGCTTTCTTAATAAAATAGATAATTTCATAATGTAATATTTTTATATTCCAAAATATAATTCTGAAAACATACAGCTTTCGCTTTGAATTGATATACATGACGCATGTTTATAAAAAAAAAAAAGTTAATGGACGTCACGCATCAACTACCCAATCACTGCGAGTTCATTTACATAAACACCCTGAACGCTCGGTCGAGATTAGTGTTCAATATTTTAACTAACAAACAAACAATTATCTGAGAAACGAAGCTGAGCCGAAATGTTTTACTAATATATGTTTTAAATTTGTTTTACTTCCCATCATCTAAATGATTTACCGTCATTGTAAAGAGTTGTTCAGTGGCGAGGCTAAATAAAGAGACGCAGCTTACATCACATTCCGGAGCGGATGGAAGCTTACTGTAGAGGTCACGTGCTGGGTGCTCGTCACTCTTCCAATCACCTCGGGGAAGGTCTGAGACAAGAGCCAATCGCTGTCCTCGCAGGACATCATCTGAACAGATGAGCGAGCGCACAGGCATCATGGGTCACAGCGCGGTGTTCTCGCACGAGACGTTGATGTTCGCGAGGTTGCAGCAGATCAACTGATGCGATCCCCGCTGACTTGGAAACACTCGCGGCTGGCGAATGAGTTCAATGTGTAAGCTAGTACAAGATGCTAGAACCCAATTCAGACTACTCTCCGTCCGCTCCTTTACTGCCTTTTAGCTATATTTACTATATACCCCTATAATGAGAAGGTTACGACGATTGTTCAGGCCTTGTTCAGAGAGGGGCCCCTACGAGGCCCCTACGAGACACCCAACTAATTAACTTACACGAAAATACTCGAGAAATACTTTGGGGACGTTGACATGTCAGGTGGTGTAACATAGTACACACTATGTAGAACTATTTTAAATGTTTGTTTTTTTTTATAATCATTATACATATATAATAATCATCAGACATGGAATGTAAATATACAGTTTCCCTTATTTATTTATTTATTTATTTTATTTTTTAATAAAATAGGATAGTCACAAGTTAAGATAGTCACATTATTCACATTAGCTGCCAGACCAAAAAAATCACTTCCATAAATTTCAAAAAGATTTTATAACATTACATGTTTTCAGTGTTTTTGTTTGTTCCAAAATGTTCAAGTATTATTTTAAATAATTTAGAAAATGTAAGAAATCAGAAAGAAATGTATTGCCAAGTATGTTCACAGACACAATTAATTTGTCTTGGTGAATGAAGAAACTTCCAGTGCACAGCAAGAGAGCAACGGTACACAGTAAAATAAAAAGTAAATAAGATACATACAGTGCCTTGCGAAAGTATTCATACCCCTTAATTTTTTTTCACGTTTTGTTACGTTGCTGCCTTATGTTAAACTGCTTTAAATTACTTTTTTCCACATCAATCTACACTCCATACACCATACTGACAAAGCAAAACCAGAATTGTTACAACTTCGTAAATGTATTAAAAATAAAAAAACTGAAATAAGTACATGACATAAGTATTCATACCCTTAACTAAATATTTAGCTGAAGCACCTCATTAAGGCTATCTCTATATTTTGGTGCATTGAGCTTTTCTTCTACTCTGATGAGTCCCTCAGTCCCTGCCGCTGAAAAACAGCCCCACAGCATGAGGCTGGTACCAGCACACTTTACTTTTGGGATGGTACTCTGCAGGTGATGAGCAGAGCTGGTTTCCTTCAAACATGATGCTTGGAATTGAGGTTCATCAGACCAGATAATATCGTTTCTCACAGTCTGAGGGTCCTTTAGGTCCTTTTTTCAAATTCCAAGTGTGTTTTCATGCGTCTTCACTGAAGAGAGGATTGAGTTTGGCCACTCCGACATAAAGCACAGATCGGTGGAGTGTTGCAGTGATGTTTGTCCTTCTGTAAGTTTCTCCCATCAGCATATATGATCATGGAGCTCAACTAGAATGACCATCAGCTTCTTGGTCACCAGTCTAACCAAAGCCCTTCTCCATCGATTGCTTAGTTTGGCCAGGAGGCCAGCTCTAGGAAGAGACCTGGTTGTTTCAAACTTCTTCCATTAAGGGTAACAGAGACTACATGCTTCTGTGACCCTTCAATGAAGCAGAATTTTTTCCTGAACTCTTCCCCAGATGTGTGGCTTGATGCAAACCTGTTTCTGAGCTCTACAGGCAGTTCTTTTGACCTCAGGGCTTGATTTTTGCTCTGATATGCATTATCAGCTGTTAGACCTTTAATTAAGACGTGTGTGCCTTTCCAAATTATACCCATTCAATTGAATTTGCCACTGGTTAACTTCACTTGAAGTGTAGTGATATCTACAAGCAATATGAATGCTCCTGAGCTAAATTTCAACTGTCCCAGATAAGGGTATGAGTACTTATGAAATGGAATCATTTAAGTTTTTTATTTTTAATAAATTTGCAAAGATGTTAAAAACCAGTTTTTTGCTTTACCAATATGGTGTATGGAGTGTAGATTGATATGGGAAAAAAAGTAATTGAAAGCAGTTTAACATAAGGCAGCAACATAAAATGTGAAAAAAAATGAAGGGGTATGAATACTTTTGCAAGGCACTGTATATGTATATATACAAATAAACAAAATAGTCCAATTTGTATGTAGAAGTGTGCTATATACAAACAGAATTAACAGGGAATGGAATAAGAAGTAGGGTATTTTATTGCACAGTGGGGAGAACCTGGGGCATTTAACTGGTCATGAAATTGTTTGGGGGAAGAAACCTTTTCTTGTTTCTGGCTGTTCTGGTGGCCAAAGCTCTGTAATGCTGACCAGATAGCAAAATTTAAAAGAGAAGGTGGCTTGGGGGTGGAGGGTAGGAGGGGAGTTTAGGAAGATTCAAAGGGCCCTGAGAGAATGTGATTTGAGGGGGCCCAATTCAATATGCTGTTTAAGGGGCCCAGAAACCATAGAAGTGCTCCTGTGGATGTGAGAGGTTCAGAGAATTTTCTGAGTCTTTTTTCTCACTCTAGATGTATACAGTTCTTGAAGGGTGGGCAGTGGAGCATCAATAGTCCTCTCAGCAGTCTGAACTATCCTTTGGAGTCTTCTGATGTCTGATTTGGTAGCTGAGCCAAACCAGACAGTTACTGATGCAGAGGACAGACTGGTATTGTCTTTTTGTCTTGGTATTATAATTGGTATTTTCCTAATAAAATACATAACTGCATAATGTAATATATTCCAAAATGTAATTGCTGGTGAAATTTAATGGTAACACCTTACAATAAGGATTATTAGTTAACACTGATTAATTTAATAACTAACATTAAATACCAATGAGAAATACATTTGTTACCATATTTATTAATCTGTACGTTAGTTAGTAAAAATACAACTGTTCATTGGTAGCTCAGTTCCATTAAATAATATTAACTGATACAACTTTTTATTTTTAATAATGTATTAGTGAATGTTGAAATGAACATAAACTAAGAACATAAACTTATAAATGCTTTAGAAGTTTTTTTTATTATTATTTTTATTGTGTGTTCATGTTAACTAATGCAGTTAACTAATGTTAACAAATGGAACTGTAAGGCCCACGCACTTGGCCCAAGGAAGGTATTCAGTGGTGGATGAAGGTTTCTTGCGTGTTCGGTCTTTTCAGACTGATGCATATGTGAGAGAGGCGTTTCCTGCACCTCCACTCTGTGGGGTGTCTCGAAGATGCCCGTGTATGTTTGTATTGTCTGTTTCTCAGGAGATCAAAGTATCTGAGTTTCTTTAATCCTTACAGAACCTTATTGTAAAGTGTTACCAAAAATAATAGAATGTTTTTTTTTAATAGAATGTATTTAGAACTATATTAACCTTTACCAGATTTGGATTTTGGGCTTTGATATTGGTGAATAAAGAGCACTGGGTTCAGTGAAATAGCAAAACACAATCAGGTTGCATAGATGAACTGCTGTATTTGGAAATACACATTACAAAAATCCAACTGTTATCCACACACACTGCATTAACAGATTATCGTAGTAGGTCTCATTGCATCTCATCATTGTTAGTGTCGTCTTCTGCATGAAACATAGGCAGCAGATCTCCCCAGTCACTACTACGAGCACATCTGTACATGTCCCTGTTAAAACAGGCAATGAAATTATTGTTAAAACCAGTTTGATCTGTGAATGCATAGCCTATTAGTGGTAATACAGGTAGAGGTTATTCACTGAAAATGCAAATAGAGATCTATTAAATGAAAGCATTACATACTTTCCATGACGACGGGCCGTTACAGCAAGCTGTTTGAGTTCTCCAT